TGGTGAAATACCTCACACCCAAAAAAAAAAATATTTGACTTTGACGATATTTTATGAATTCTTTTTATTGATTATTATTCGAGCCCAGTTCCAAACATATTGGGAGAACAATAAACAATTACAGCCATGTAATTCATTAAGTTGGTTAGACAATTTTATTAAGCCCACTGTTGGACAGAGTGTCTTATCAAGCCGGTGGCAGTGTTCAAAAGAAGGGATATTTGCATTGCCTCCGTCTTTTGATGACGACATAGTAATAGAAATAAAAGAAAGTAAAAAAGTCCACGTCCACGATATTAAAAAGATTCACAAAGGGAAAAAAAAAAGTTTCTAAAAATCTGCGAATGTGTCGGCTAAATACAGTATTGATGGAAGTAGACAGTGAATATTTTGTGTGTGTAACAATACAATTTTAAAAGGGTAACAACACGTGGGAATGAAAATCATGTGCGGTTAAGTAAGAACAACTAAATTGATTCCCGCTGATATTAAGTTTAAACGACCAAAGTTTCTCCATTGTAAGCCCTTCAATGTCTACCCTTGCGGGTCACCTGGCCTTTCTCCTGACCTTGCAGGTCTCCTGGCCTTGCGGGTCTCCTGGACTTTCTCCTGGCCTTGCGGGTCTCCTGTCCTTGCAGGTCTTCTCGCCCTTCTCCTTGCCTTGCGGGTCTCCTGGCCTTTCTCCTGGCCTTGCGGGTCTCCTAGCCTTTCTCCTGGCCTTGTGGGTTTCCTGGCCTTTCTCCTGGCCTTGCGGGTCTCCTGGCCTTTCTCCTTGCCTTGCCGGTCTCCTGACCTTTCTCCTGACCTTGCGGGTCTCCTGGCCTTGTGGGTCTCCTGGACTTGCGGGTCTCCTGTCCTTGCAGGTCTTCTCGCTCTTCTCCTTGCCTTGCGGGTCTCCTGGCCTTTCTCCTGGCCTTGCGGGTCTCCTAGCCTTTCTCCTGGCCTTGTGGGTTTCCTGGCCATTCTCCTGGCCTTGCGGGTCTCCTGGCTGGGTTTCCTGGCCTTTCTCCTGGCCTTGCGGGTCTCCTGGCCTTTCTCCTTGCCTTGCCGGTCTCCTGGCATTGCAGGTCTCCTGACCTTGCAGGTCTCCTGGCCTTGTGGGTCTTCTGGCCTTGCGGGTCTCCTGGCCTTGCGGGTCTTCTCGCCCTTCTCCTTGCCTTGCGGGTCTCCTGGCCTTTCTTCTGGCCTTGCGGGTCTCCTAGCCTTTCTCCTGGCCTTGTGGGTTTCCTGGCCTTTCGGGTCTCCTGGCCTTTCTCCTTGCCTTGCCGGTCTCCTCGCCGGTCTCCTCGCATTGCAGTTCTCCTGACCTTTCTCCTTGCCTTGCGGGTCTCCTGGCCTTTCTCCTGGCCTTGCAGGTCTGCAGTTTGATGCATGCAATATGTTAATAAATCATTGCCTACTGTTAAAAAAAATAAATTTTACGAAGAAATTTATAGAAATTGAAAATATCGGGTATTCAAAACTTAATACATAAAAAAACACAACAATAGGCTGAAATTTCAGCTCACTGGGATGTCGGTAATATATAGACTTTAATGGCTAAAAGATCTCCGATCACCATAAACAAAATCCACTAAATTATCCCCCTTGTGTCTAACTTGAACTTAATTTAAATAATACCTAATTTTTTTCCTCTCTATTTAAAAAAAAATATATATATTAATCGTGTTTGGGCTGAACACAAAATAAAATAAAGGAACATGAAATAAAAATAATACTTTTAATATTTCATTAAATAAAAAATATTTTTTATCATAAATATATGGTATTCTGTCAATGTACAAATATAATCATTTCTGACTGACACATACAAAAAATTTTTTTTTCTTCACAGCATATTATAATTATTTATCTCTCCAGCGGTGGATCCAGAAAAATAATGGGGTGGGTGCCTTTCATTATATTAAATATGTGTCCAACCCCTCCCTGAAAATACTTCATATCAACAACCGAATTAGGCTACCTGTCAGGATTTTTAATGTTCATTCAAGCAACAGTTTAACTTAACTTAGTAAAGTACCCAATGTAACAAATGGACTCCACCACCAGTCAAAGTTGAGGTTGAGTGTTTCACTTGAGATAACATTGGATATATTTAATTTCAGTTCATTAACATTCCAGATCTTTTTTTTATAACATTATATTGAGACAGATGTCAGATAAGCTGTAAATGCACTGAACTATAGAAAGAGAAGATATCTGTAAAATACATCAATAAATCTTTAAAAGCAATATGATAAATATTAATGTTTTAAGCTTATCATATATATTATAAAATATAATTTTTATAATTATAGGTAAAATATATTTTTATGGAGGAAAAGGATGTCAAATACTTGATACAGTTTTCATTAAACTTATACATATTCTGTTAAATGTACCGAGTACAACAAAGTGTTTCCATTATAGATCTATAAATTATGTAATAATATCTGTTAAGAAACAGAAGGCATATTTATGGATAAGATTAAAAGAAATCTCCAGTTGATATAATAGAGACTAGATCTAAATTTTTTTTTTTTTTATAAAATTCATATAAATTACTATGATGATCACAAAATAAGTTCTGCATATTTTATTATAGACACAACAGTGTTTCATTTGTATTCTAGTTTATTCTAATAACAAGCAATAGCTCAACTGTAAGGCTCATTTTAGTTTTAGATGAATTGTCTTTGTATATTTGTGACAATAAAAATATAAAATTTGATTAGCAAAGAACAGGTGAGAGTTTTTAAAAAAAATCATGTGTTCTCAAACCATAAAATAATAAAAACATGTTGGAATTAACTGAAAAAACAGATTAATTAAATATCTATAATTCTTGATCTGTATTTATTTAAAATCATTTATTTTATTTCTTCATTCATAAAATTTATCAATGAAAAAAATTATTTTAATTAACTAATAATGATAACATAGTGAAGAAAAGTATGCATTTTGTCATTGGTTAAAGAAATAATAAACATGTCAAACACACATGGAATTATGAATTCCTGAGAGGTGGCAGCTTTTCCATAACACTGCTGTATGATTTATTGCAATATACAATATATAATAAAGATAAAGCATTTTTAAAATATGAGATGAACTAAAGCATAAATTAATATCAGTAAGCAAATATATAAATAAAATCAATTTGAATTTAGCATTCTGTATGAGACAATGATCCTGAAATGGTTGATCCATGAAATATGTTGAAGCTTAAATAGTAAATGAGAGATGTGTTTTGTAAGGGGTATACATACTTAATGTTATTGCAGCCCATTCTTTAAACAAAACATAAACTTATATTAGCATTATATAATTTTTAGGCTTATATGAAGATTCAACTTTAAGTGCTCCCAAGTTTAGAAAACACTGCTCAGCAGCAGACCTAACTGTACAGTAGCCATGAGACAATGTATCATGGGATGATAAATCACAGATAAGACTGCTGTAAATGTTAACTAACACCAGAGCTTACAAGTCAGTCATAGAACATTCAGGTAAATAAATAGAATAACTCTAGCATTTGAGTCCTTCAATAAGAACTGGTAGTACAAACAAATTTGCATTCTTTGTTTTTGAATAGAACCTCTGAACATCTAATAATTAATCTGACTGATTAATTAATGTTATTGCAGCCCATTCTGACTGATTAATTAACAACATTAATATTCAAAAAGAATGGGACTTGATATATTTGATTAATTAGGATGGGGAATCAAAATTTATTTAAGTCATAACTATAAGAAGACTATGACATCATTAGTTTACAGACAATGTTCGAAGCTGTAAGATATCAGATCTTAAAATTACACAAGATCTACAACGTGTACAATCTAAACAGCCTTTATAAAGTTTAAATAGAAACAAAATATCGGAAATTTAAATAACAAACAAATCATACTTGTTCTAAACTATTTTATGTGGACAGAGAAATATGACACTACAAAATTATGTTTGGGTATTTAATACACAGAATCTTTATTCGCTTTGATTCCCCATAGTACATGTGAGAGGTTTGTTTGTGTTTTTTTTTAAATCAGGAAGTTTAGACAAAACAAATCAATGAAATAGTTATAAATATTTGGTAAAAATAAATTATGTTAAACACATAAAGACAAAATAGTATCTTAACCTGCTTTTAATTAATTTTTATTCTTTGTAAAGAGAGTTTATACATTTCTATTAAAAATATAAATTAGATTATCAAAATATATATAATATCTTAATGATAAAGTCAATGATAAATATATTGTCATGGAAACAATATTACATAAAAAGTAAAAATTCATGTAGAATTAGAAAAACATATTTGAGAGTTGAGAGTTGTTTATACAGAAATTTATTTTCATAATAAGAAAATAAATTACTTCAAAATGTAGCTGCAAATGATTCAATCAGTGTGAAATGTGTCGTAAATGTATCAGTACAAAACTGACACAAGCATTCATGTATATTAGAAAGCTTTTAGCCCTGAGAATTTACTATGCGATAAATTGTTTCATCAAGTTTCTCCTTGTATTCTTTAGGTGAATATAAATGAATGATTGGAGGCAGACGGTCCAATAGTCACCTACAAAAAATACAAATAAATAAAACATAAAAAGTGTTCATTTTTGTCAAGTCAAATATTTCAGGTTTTGTCTGTGTGCTTATGTTTGTTTTGCTTCAGCCACCTAAATTAAAATTGTGTATGTTCTTGTTGAAAAAAAACAACAAAAGATTTGCTAAAAATTTACACTAAATAATTCAAAAATTATTTTCTTCTTTTATTTCTAGTGACACAATTATTCTAATTTGAAAATAAATTTAACAGTTATCAAACAAGTTAATTTTTTTTTTGCAATGACAATTTTTATAAAGTACATAGAAATTTATACTGCTTTATTATCAAAGCATCAAATATAGGCAAATACTTTACCTGCTTGGATTTGACACAGTAGCTGTTGAAGATGATGTGTGAGTCAAGACTGAACTACTCAAAGAAGTAATAGAATCTGCTCTAGTCGATGGTGACAAGCTCTGCCCAGATTTGGTGGTGAATTTCTTTGTTACTAATCTGGGTAAAGCTGCTACAGATCCACTAAAAAAAAAAAAAAATTACAGTAAAGAAAGTTTGTCTAAAGGAAAAATAAATTTAAATTTGCTGACTTCAGATAATGCATTTGTTTATCCCCATTCGGTCTTGTAAAATTTAAACAAAATGCCCATCCCAACACTACAAATAATGGTAAACAGTCTCAAACCCCTGCTTCAACTTCACTTGAGCAAAAAAGACATAAATAAATTTGAGAGATCCAGCAAAGGAATGAACTCAGTGCACTGAAGTAAGAGGACCTCCAAGTTGCATTTTAACATTCACAGCTTGGAGGGGTGATTATTAAATATATTTTATCTATTTATGTATTTTTTTAAAAAGGAATCAGGTTGGAAAAAGGGGTGGGGGGGTTGACGTATGAGTGGGGAATAGTAATCACTAAAGCTGTTGCAAGTTTACCATTTGTTTATGGTCCCAGTTAGGATTCTAACTTGTACTTTTAATTATGGTCTCATAAATTTTAATTCATTATTAATTAAATCAACTGCTAATTATAATATGTAAACTAGATTTTTTAATGATAACAACAATAAAAGACTGAATTCTATTTCAAGAGCAATTAGATTCATTATTTTTGTTTTTTTATATTTTTGTTGGCAAATCAAAATCAACTAATTATTCAATGAAAACATATTTTTGTTCAATATAATCGGGACTGTGAAGTTAGAGCTAGGACTGTTCTTTACAAATAAAATTAGTAAATATTTTCTAATTCTAGTATTCAATTTGAAAGTCCAAACACTCTCTAATCCTAGTTTTGAAATAGAAAGATGTTTTAAGAGAATCGATTTGTCTATATCGTACTTCAGTGTATTTTCAAACTACTACACTGGAAATAAACACTAAACAATGTACTGCTATATATTTTTCTTGAGCTAATTGTTTTTCCACAACTTCACAGCCCTAAATAAAGCAGGGAAAGTCAGGCAACAATTAGAAGATAACAAAATCTAGAATGTAAGTAACACATAAATCATGATTTATCTATGCTATTCATATAAAAAAAAAAATATTTAAAATAAGATTGTCACCAAAAAAAGTAATCCACTGCAAAATGCAACAAATTAAAGAACTATAAACATGCAAGTTGGTGATAAATTAAGAAATAAAAAAACAACTGACCAGAAAAAAAATCTAAAACAACAACCAATAATAAAATAATGCCAGTAACTGCAACTAAATCTAAACATGTTTGTTACTTCATCTTTCAATACATAGCTTACAGATCAGCATTTGATCATCAGATAATGAGTTTGCTGATGCTGATTTTATTCCTGTCTTAGGATGTCTACAATCATAAAAGAAATAATTATTTATGTCTAAATGTAACTATATAAAAAATAATTAAAATTAAAATGTCAAGTTATACAAAAGAAATGAAACAAAACAAAGTAGACTGATTTCAAACTGTTTAATTTTATAAAATTGCTATAGAAAATTATATAAAATGATTCTAAACAATTGATAAATTACTGGCACTCATCAGTTATTATTTCTGTTTTGTCAGATTAATCACTGAAAGATTAAAAGGACAGACTTTATTAGTATGTGAAAATCCAAAGGAGATCATGTTGATTTACAACTGGAAACTGATCTCATTGAAAACATGTTGCGATTAAATCAAACGCCAGGCAATTTAATGAGTTCAGCCAATGTCTAATAATCTGCCTCATCCCAACCTCCTTACCACCCACTAGCCCTCCCACCCCAATATAGCAGTCAACTGTTGTAATATGGGAATTCAATGTTGTAAAAGATTTATTGGAGGAAATATGGGAAATACTTTTGAATTTCTTATTTAAAATTTTAAGGATAATTAATGTTACTTATGTGGATAGGTGCAATAAAACTTGGTGCATATATTTCAGTTTTATTCGGTACACCCTTAGGGTGCAACTATGTAAAACCAGTTTCATACTGCCATGGCAGATGTAAGCTAATTATTTATATTATTATAGGATAGATATCGATTTGATCAATTAACATTTTTGAAAATTGCCTCCACTCACTAAAAAAAGTTATGTAGGCACAGCAGCTTGGAAAAAAATGTTTTAAAGGCTTTTTGAAAATAAATTCTTGCACAGAAGTGTAAATACTAATAGTACTGCAGGTCTACCTTAAATGTTAGTAGGTAAGAATATATTTTTGTGTGAAGTATCAATAAATGTGTTTTACCTTGTTCTGGCAGCAGTTTGTTGGGCCACGCTCTTCATGTCAGGAGATTTAATACTGACAGTAGCATGGGAATGAGGGGCAGTCCACTAGAATTTAATGCAAGAAAAAAGTTTTTATGATGATCAGCAAAAATATGCAAAAGTTTAATTATGGAAAGTGTGAAAAGAAATGGAAAAATACATTTCTATTAAACCCATACAGAAATGAGCAATAACAAAAATAAACAAAAAAAAATATCAGGAACATATGATGAGCATGACTCATGCTTAACATATCATTACAAGAAACTTAACAGACAATTGAATTTTACCTGGTGTCTTGGATTAGAAGTTGGGTTATCTAGATGAATGTTTGATTCACATAATGACTGGAGTAACATAATACCTGCAGAAATGGTATGGAATGTGATACAGAATTAATCTTTATTTAGTTGCATGAACTTGAGTGACTTGACCAGTCTTTTTTTTTCTTTCAAAATTGTATGAATTAACAAATATTTTCAAAGAACTACATAAAAATAGTACTGTAGTTGTGGCAGAGAATGATAAACGGATGAAAATCTTTTAAAAATTCAACTAACATTTAGAATGCCTTTTGTTCATTTTACTTTCATGTGATTCAAGAGTAAAGAACTATAAATCCAAATCAAGACACCAGAAAAAAACTATCTCTTATTTATTAAGAGCAATTAAGTGCTACCTTTCTGTTCCATGTGGTTGTAGCGTAACACCCATTGATCAAGAAGGAGGTTGTAGTAGCGAGGCTGTTCAAAGAATCGCAAGTAGCGATGCGTTTGAGGAGTTGGAAAAAGCCGTTGAAAATTTCCCTTTCGGCTATCCTCATCAATGCTCTCACACAAGTGTCGAATATCACCAGGTGTGAGAGTGTCTAGGATGGACTGCATGATTTCCTGTTCAAGAATTCACATTTTTCTAGATAAATTGTTTTAAGTAATACCACTATGTTTAACTAGTATAGGAAAGATAAAGTATCTACTAGTTCATAAAGTATGTACAATTTTTCAGGCATTTCAGTGCAGGAATAACACACTAATACAGTGAACTAAAGCTTCATTTAGATTTGAAAGAATAAAGGGGGCAAAATGACAAGCTACTGTTAACACAATGGCACTGGAAAAGTGTAAGCCTGTCATGCTCATGATCACATCCCAAGTGGAGCAAAAGTGTAAAGAAACAAAAAATTTGAATATGAAGGGAAAAAAAATGACAACAATAGCAAAGCACATATTGATCATGTATTTAAAAGTGGGGTATTCCTGCATTACAAATTTAAGTTATAAAAATAAAACAGCTTTATAAAACTTCAGCTCTCTTAAATTAAGGAGTTCTGAAACAAAATCTGAAATTAAAATTATTCTAATGAATTATGCTTTTTAAAACTGTTTAGGTAAATAATGAAATAAAAATCAAGTCTTGAATGAAAATTTAAGAAACCAATTACAGTAATTTTTATTGCTAAATTCATTTAATTTAAATAATATAAGTTTAAAAAAACAGACTTTAAAAATAAAGTTGTTGATAAGTAGAGATTCATAACAGAAAACAAAATGAAACTCTGAGATAATAACAATCTCTTTTTATAACAAAAATTCTAAACTGGCAGAAACATTAATACAAAACATCAATTACACACTAAATGTCGTTTCAGTACAAAAGCTTCAACAACTTGGTTTTTTTTTATTGATACCAAATCAAGATATCTTTGCTGAGAAAGACATTAATGAAATAATCTTATTACTGTTGTCATTTATATAAGAAAGAGTTTTATAAATAGATTTATTCAGAATTTTTAAAGAAAAAAATAGTAGTTTTTAATAACTACAATATCTTTAGAATGTTTAAAAAAAATTTCTTTAAGTCAGTATGTGTTACAAACTAAGCATTATTTTATAATTAAATCTATAACATAGTTTTAATGTAAAGGATTGGAAAGGCGGTTTTTTAACATGTGATATTTTTAGAAAAGAAAATGATTTTTTCTTAATGATTTTCTTTTAGAGAGCTATGTAATTAGTTGGTACTATAAATAGTCTTCTTAAAATGCCATTTGAAAAAAGGATGTAAACTAATGTCTATTTTTAAATCGTTCCACCATTTTTATAATTACCTCATCTTGGTGTTTCTGACAAAAATAAGCATGTTTTCCACGTTCATCAGGTGAAATTTGATTAGTAAACAGTCTTTTGTCCATGCAGAACTTGTTTGGTGGGCTGTAGCAACTAAGAATATCATAAGTGAAGAAAATTTATAAAATATAAAACAGTCGGATAATTTTTTAATTTTAGACTAAAAATTTTCTAATTCCAACTAAACTGTCTAACTTTTAGTTCTATTTTTAGGGGAAAAATCCATCACTGAAAAACACATTTTAGTTTGATCCTCCCACTTGGCATCACATAATTGATTTATACAGAAAAAATTTCAGTGTTCTAATTGATTAAAACTGGGTAAAAAGATTTTTGTTTAAAATAATTAGTAGACCTATTCTATGATTCTCAATATTTTGCTCTAACTATATTATCGATTAAAACAAATCTGTCTCATTTTATTTATTAAAAAGCATGTAAACAAAATAATTTACTTGATTGTTTTGATAAAAGTGTGGTGATTTTGTGAATTGTATAATTGTGAAACTTGACTTTGTAGTATGTCTTAAGCTATCGGATAGTAAACTAATGCATAATTCATTATAATAATATCCTTTGATTTTAGACAAATAATGAATTACACAACTTAACGGTAGCTTTTTTCTTGGTCATTTGTGTTTTCTAATAATAAGACTATTATATAAACTAGCATTGAGACCAGACCAACCTGGTGTCTGCAGTAGAGACGCTACTCAGTCGAATATCTCTATCATCAGGTAGTCTATAGCCAGCTATGTTCATCATATCCTTTATCATGCCCCCTTTAACGGCTATGTCCAATGGCGAGTTTGAGTGCAAACTAAATTTTCAAAAATTGGTAGATGGTGTAATGTTTTAACACGCTAAATAGTTTACACCTTCAATATCTTACATTTAAAAATATGTTCAATTGGCTTTCTAAAATGAGATGTTACCAAAATATTATAAAAGTTTCTAAGAATTAGTTAACTAATTTCCAAATTATTATTCTTTCTCATTGGCCATTTTGGGACCATTTGATATTTTAAAAGTTAATTCAAGTATAACTTTCATATTATTATATTGATCTTCATATTTTTCCAGTTCCAAAAAAGTATAACACTTTGATGTTTGGAGCAATTTTTTTCTGATTCAAATAGTCATTTACTTTTTCATAACTTTATAAAGATTGCACATGAGTTCCCCTAAAGTTGATTGTGAAGACAAAAGAGCAACATTAGTTGGTTTACCTTGGGGAGATGTTAACTTCCAGTATCCAGGGTTTTAATTTCTCATCCAACAAAATATCAAAACCAAACAGCTCATGGCAGGAGTAGCGACTGCGAACATTAGCTTTTGTCATACTATTGATAGATGAGTCGCCACTGAAAATATAAATGTTAAGTTACATGGAATGTTTTCTTGCATATACTGTGACTTACTTGCAACAATTTTTCTGATAAATTCAAATAAAATTGTTTTCGGGTTTTTTATTTTTTTTTTTTTTTTTGAGTAATTTAAAAAAAAAAGTATTTTTAATGTTAATTTTAGTGCTGAGTTTAACATCAAAGATATATGCACCTTATGATGGTCTTGATAATCAGATCTCTAATACTGGCCCAAATAACAGCTGTGTTGATGCCTTGTTTTTTCATGTATGCCCACAGTGCCTTCAAACTCCTATGTATAAAATAAAGGATTACTTGTTAGTAACATTCCGTAGATGAAAAAATGCATAATTTACAAACTACAAAAACAAACTTCTGGAAACAAAGCCACAGAATTTTAAATTTTAATCAAGGTTTTTATTAATCTATAAATTTCAAATCCAATAATAGCAATTTTAAGTCAATAATCATTTAATTTACAAAGTTTTCTGCAGTTTATTGTAATCGTGTGATTCCATAATGTCAAATGTAATTAAAAAGTTAAGACACTTGTTTTTTTTTACTTGTATGTAGTTTACCTGTTTCATCATCACTGAGAGTGATATAATTCAAATAAATTTCCCAAATATGGGCACAGATCTGGGTTTCCTAAACTATTATTAGTATAATAACAGAAATAAACCATACAACAGATCTGACTGTCCTTTAAGTTTAAAATTCTATATTTTGTATTACTCCTTACTATTTTTAGTGCGGCAAACTTTACTCTTGCCTTGAGCATTCTTGCCTTAATATTTGCCTCTAATCCACCATTCTCAAAAACTATATTTCCAAAATAAGTAAAATTATTTACTTCTCCGTGGGCGCCGTGGCTTTTCTTCTTAACATTACCATGTCTGTGCTGTTTGCAATTATTTTTATTACTTTTTTTCTGCCTGAAATTCGAATTAAGCTTTCATGTTTTATCTTGCTTTTGTTTATGGATTTAAGATGTTATCTGCCCAGCCCTAACATTCCATTTTGGAATACAATGGACTCTTTTAAAAAAAAACTAGAACAACCAACAACTTGATTTATCGATACCAGAGTGACATTAATAATCAAAATAATTACCGGCAGTTGTATCCTTGTTGGTAATAAGTCAATATGTGAGTATTGTAACTCCTTATATAATAATACCTTTGCTTAATATCAAGTTTAAATGCATAATGAAACGTGCTCTGATTCACAACCAGAATAATGCAGTAAGTTTAACGTATCAGATTCACAACAAGAATAATGCAGTAAGTTTAACGTATCAGATTCACAACCAGAATAATGCCGTAAGTTTAACGTATCAGATTCATCATCTAAGTTTTAAACCAATTAATATCAGACCAATATTTCCAAGCATATAGGAATTAATCATTCAAAACACTTAAACTGAATTTTCATCAAATTACTATTTAGAGAAATCAGCTTTTTAAAATATGATATACATCATGATGCAATTTAGCATTACGTTTTAAGTCTAGGTGTGACATTTTCTATAGGGCAACATTTTTGTTTATGAAATGTCTGTTTTAGTTTTTGTTCTGAAAATAGTTTTAAATATTTATTAAATCAATAGTTGAAATATTGTTTATTATTTTGGAATTAAATTGTTCATACCATTTATGTCCCTCGCACAAATTGTCATCCTGATTAGAATTACTGACATATTCTGTGTTCTTTTTGTTCACACTGTAGTTAGTCAAGTGGACAAATCTGTTATTCAATGACTTTGTAGAAGAAGAATATCTGAGGATTTTATTAATTTTTGTTAGTCTTCATTGTTATCATGTGCCTCTAACAGTATTACAAAACACTGAGGCTGCTGTGTAAATTTTAAAAAAACAACAATAGTATTAAATAATAACACAAGCTATAATTATAACACCAACAGCAAAAAGTAAAGTGGTTTCTTAATTGGTTTCAATTTTAAACTATGGTCTTTACTTGCAAGAAGCAAAACGAGCAAGTCCATCATCATAAACATAAAGTCTAAGAGGGTCGTAGGAGCTGACATAGACATAGACTCTCATGTCAAACTTATTTCCATTGATGAGGAATGGACGGTGAATATACCTATTGATAAAGGTTTAGGAAATTGTAATAAAGCAAATAAAATATATTTATATGTCAACCTAGCATTATTAATTTCATAGTCAAAATTAAATTTTGAATAAACCATATAATTTAGCATTTTAAAAAAGTAAGTGCAATTTATTTTTATATTTTAATCAAGCAACATGTGTGTATAAAAATGTTTTTACAAAGAAAAATTCCTCTATTTCATTTCATTTACAATAAATAGATCATCTTCAATTGGAACTTCTTTATGTAATTAAAAATACATCATTGATAATGACAAAGATTAAAAGAATAATAATAAAAATCTGGTATAAAAAAATTAAAAAGATTATTAGTTTCTTGTAGGCTGCACTCTACCATGAGGCCAAACCAATTAATTTGCTGTTGGGCCATGTACTGGCTGATTGGGATGGTACCGCCATCTGTTTTATTTTCTGAATCAGAATGTGGTAAATTTCATTTTATCAGCGGCTCACCTCAAACATCTCATCTTGCAGGGCAGGTGAAGATTTTTCTCTCAAGACTTTTATTCATAGCCCAGGTCTGACACTAATATGCAAGGGTTGAAATTAAGACAGCGTTAATTAGCCTGGCTTTAGTTCCCATCTTTATTTTTGGATGTCTTAGTAGGTGGCAAAAATACTCGCTAATATTTACGATCTTGGCATTGACGGAGCAGCTGACAACTGATAGTTATGTCCATTTGTCTCTTGACGGAGCAGCTGACCGATAGTTATGTCCATTTGTCTCTTGACAGAGCAGCTGACCACTGATAGTTATGTCCATTTGTCTCAGGATTTAGATTGGCATCATTTGGATTTGTCCATATATATTATGAACAGCAACGGTGATAAAATACATCCCTGTCTGGCTCCAGATTTTTACTTCACACCACTCAGAGAGTCCATTTGCACTATGAAAACCACTCAGAGAGTCCATTTGGGCTATTCACACCACTCAGAGAGTCCATTTGCACTATGCACACCACTCAGAGAGTCCATTTGGGCTATGCATAGCACTCAGAGAGTCCATTTGGGCTATGCACAGCACTCAGACTTCCTTTATAGAGCGTCCTTAAAACTGATAATACCAGTTGCCTAGGCCTAAAAAAATATCCTTCTAACAACCATGTAAAACATCCTTCAAGCCATTCAAATTTGTATGCACCAAATCTGTAGCCCATGGTAGGTATGGTTATATTATACATTTAAATATAGTGTGAAAATTTAGATTTTCTGTGGTAAATATAATGAAATTTTATAAATTAATAACATGGTTGAAATCATCATGAAATATTATTTTAACAAGATAAATTTTAATTGATTTTAAATATTTTATTTATCAATAAGATACTAACTCAAAGCGAATAGTAAAATGTGATAAAAATAAAAACATTTACTTCTGCACAACAACTGCTTTTCTTCGAGGGATTTGAGACCATTTGCTGATGACTCGAATTCCAATACCTCTGGCAGAAGCAGGCTGAATAAAAACATAAGTATTACCCGGTATCATGTTTCAAATAAGGTGGACAGGTTTCAAGATTTACATTTTGTTTTATCAGTTGAAATTATATTGATTGGGAAGTTAAGCTTTTAACCTAATTCAGCTTTCTTTTTAATTTTAAAAAAAAAGTTACAAAAACAGTTAATTTAACATACTGGTAAGCAATTTTGATTACAAATATTGATTATGATCAGTGTTTTTTTTTAATGCAACAACCTTACACTTACAGGCTTAACTATCCATTTCTGTTTGGAGTTTCCTTCCTCCCAAGTTCTTTTCAGCAATTTCAAATCACTTGGCAGTACAAAAGTTTGTGGGAAGAAATTAAACTCCCGTTTGCCAAAGTGGGCCTGCATCTTTGATAAGCTACGCCAAAGTCTGTCTTTACGTCCAATGTTGAAAGAGCCAGGAAAGTGATTCAACTGCAGAGCAACACAAAAAAAAGAACAAAGAACTTGAAAAACATCTTCACTGAAGAGTACTTTTCAATCAACTCAAAACAAAATCAAACGAATTGTCCATATTTAAAGGGATGGATAGTGACATCCACTTTTTGCTTTAGGTTTTTATAAAAATTCAACTTACCTTTTGATATTCTCTTAATTGCTTGAAACACTGGGCTTTCATATGTTTGCCAAAACATCCCAGCCAGTCATAATTTTCTGAGAAAGATGAAATGAAAATTTCAGACGCTAATGTTCACACCATAGGCTTTTAAATGCACACCCAATCTCCTCTAGAACTAAAGAGACTCTTTGGTTTTCAGTGGCTACTAAATTCTATGGTAACATAGCCTCATACATCGCAAAATAGGTCAAGCTTTGCACACAAAAAAAATTGATAATTGGTTATGTAATTAGCAGCCTTGGTCAATTAAAATAATTTAAGTATGAATGGAATAATAGTTGTTGTTTTTTACTAGATCTCTACTTACTTCTTGACACTCTAAAACCTATTCTGGATAAAGCTGTTTTTACCACCAAGGGAGTGATAGGACTTATTTTCCACTTCATCAGCTTTCGGAGATTCCAGGGTATCTGTTCAGCTAGCGGAATGTAAAATTTATGTAAAACTCATGCAAAATTATCTCCATGGCTAGACATGGATAGATAGTACTTGGGTTGGGTGCTGTCCATGTCTAGACAGGGGTTGGTAGCACTTGGGTTGGGTGCTGTCCATGTCTAGACAGGGGTTGGTAGCACTTGGGTTGGGTGCTGTCCATGGCTAGACATGGATAGATAGTACTTGGGTTGGGTGCTGACCATGGCTAGACAGGGGTAGATAGTACTTGGGTTGGGTGCTGACCATGGCTAGACAGGGGTAGATAGTACTTGGGTTGGGTGCTGACCATGGCTAGACAGGGGTAGATAGTACTTGGGTTGGGTGCTGTCCATGTCTAGACAGGGGTTGGTAGTACTTGGGTTGGGTGCTGTCCATGTCTAGACAGGGGTAGATAGTACTTGGGTTGGGTGCTGTCCATGTCTAGAAAGGGGTAGATAGTACTTGGGTTGGGTGCTGTCCATGTCTAGACAGGGGTTGGTAGCACTTGGGTTGGGTGCTGACCATGTCTAGACAGGGGTTGGTAGCACTTGGGTTGGGTGCTGACCATGTCTAGACAGGGGTAGATAGCACTTGGGTTGGGTGCTGTCCATGGCTAGACAGGGGTTGATAGCACTTGGGTTGGGTGCTGACCATGGCTAGACATGGATAGATAGCACTTGGGTGGGGGAGTTTAAGCTTTTTACCAATTGTTGTTTTTAAATGTATAATTTTCTGTCATCGCTAATTTTTATGTGAAGCGCAGTGAGCCTCGCCCTAGGGTGGGGTACAGCAGTGAGCCTCGCCCTAGGCTGGGGTACAGCAGTGAGCCTAGCCCTAGGCTGGGGTACTGCGCTATATAAACCACCTTAATAATAATAATGAATCACATTCATCAGGAGTATTATAAGTGTTAAGTTTTGAAAGAAATCTCATCTGAATTTTCTGCTATGAGCTGTCATATTTGGTTATTGCTAAGCACAGCTTTGTGGGCGTGCAATGCTCCCCTCAGTCACAGGTTTCATTTTCCTCAAGCCAGTCTGCATTTTTTAAAAATCCCTTTTCCATGTAGACAGAATATTGCAGACAGTATCTTGAAGCTGTGACAAACTTTGAATCAATTGTTACGTTAAGTGTCCCTTTTTTAAGTTTCTTCTTCAAATTGCTAGTGAAATGCTGCATCATAATTGGGTTGTTTGAAAAGCAATTATTGTGTGTACCCTTCCTCTTGGCAAGGTTCAGCTACTTGGACATTATTCATACCTTTGGTGTCCACAAGCTTATCCTTACTAGGTGTAGTCACAAGGCAAAAAAAAACAAAACAAAAAAACCAACACCAAAAAACCAACACAAAAAGGGGGGGGGGTGGTGGATCAAGGATTTTTGTTTAAATGTATCCCTGTCCAGGTGTAATTTTTTTTATATATATAAAGACATTTTTATTTTGGTGTTGCTGGGATTGAATCCAAAATCATCAGCCCGTGAAGATACAATCATGTTGTTATGTATGACACTTTTTCCCCATGCATGAACTTTGCTTGACCCCTAGCACATGCTATGTTCATAGATGTGTGTGGCCTATTCGTTTGATGTGTCGTGTTTACCACCAACTTCCAATTAAACATGGTTAGTATGTCTACTAGTATCTTATGGAACGTTCTCGATTGTATTAGAAAAGTAAGGGCATTTCTAGACACATCGTTAGACCCACATATATAAGGGATTGACAGGCACAGAGAGAGACGGAGATTAATAGATATTGTTGACGTGTATTATTCTTTGTTTACTTATATGTGTTTATTCGCATTGATTATTCATCATTATTCATTGGCACATTGTACTAACTGTGTTAACTGTGTGCCGGTACAAGATCTACCAAACTGTAAGTTGATGATTTGTAATGATATTTCTTTTGTTTTGTAATTGTATTATTACTAAATTAAATCTTATTAATTGTAATTGGTACTGTTTTGGGTCTCGTACTTTTGTTATTTTATTTTTCTATGATATCGTCCTTTGTTAGCCACTGTTTGAACGAGCCATAAATTTAAAATAGGAGATTAATTTCTCATAAGAGAAACCAGTGCATAACAATGTCTTTACTAATATCCAGTCGAATACCATGGTTTACAACAGCAAGGCAATTTCCCATCTATTTTGAAATGCCACTAACATCAAGCGGAATCAATTCTGTGATAGCATCAATGCTTGCAATAGTATCAAGCCTGCGATAGCACCTTACATGCATTGTAAATTTGACCACACAGATCTTGAATGCATGTTGCAAACATTTCTTCATCATTAGACTTCCCACAAAGGCTAACCACCCAAAGTAAATGAGAGTTACATGAATGGAAACTTGATGGAATATTCTGATTGGTTCCTTTTAGTTTATGTTTTTCAAATTTATTTTAGGAGATAATGTCTTAAGACTTGCATCATTAGAAAGAATTAAAATAAACTTTATTGCAGTTTATAAATTTGCCCATTAACATGTTGACAGGCAGACAAATTGTTTTTAATTTATTTGTTGAAGTCTAATAGTTAATAATACAAACTTTTTTCTCCTTCTGCAACGAAATTCAGAGTAGGTGGAATGTTATGAAATATGCTGAAAGTGAATGGAGGTCTACACACAACTGTACTAGAGGAGTTGGACTGCAGTGACTCATTTCTCTCAGTCACACTTTTACAAGAAGCTGAAAGTACAGAGCAACCAGCGCTTGTACGCCCAGATGATCCTGTGCTGTTAATGGAATACGTTTCTGATCCAACTTGAAAAGAAAAAAAATGTTTTTCAAAAAAGCAATTATCAACTTTGGATGCAAGATTATATTCTATAACAAGCCTTGAAAATAAGCTTTACAAGCTTTTAAAATTAGCTTCGTGTATTTATTTAAATTAGCATATTTCTAGAATGTTTTTTCCAGAATTTAAATAGAGAAATTTTGCTTTTTTAAATTATTTAAAAATGCTTATGCATTAAAATTAAAACACTCTGAAGTGTGACAAAAGCAATTTATTTGTATAAGGAATTCAGTATTCGTTAATCTAAAAAAAATTACCAATGTCTTGCTAGCAAGCAGCCAGCGGTATACTCAAAACATTACTCATTTAAGCCAATCTAAGTGATCTAAAAAACAACATGTTTTAGGCCTATAAATCTTAGCTTGATTGAAATTTACACCTCCATCGTGCCTAATTTTAAATTCTACATAGATGATATTTTTTAATTCATTTTCTCTAGTTGGTCTAAGTGTGATTTAATCTCAATTTCCTATCAATGATCTTAAGATCAACATCATACTTTCTGATGTGTTGTCTTCAAAAAGCTCTAAGTCATCTTCATCATTAAAGTTTTCAGTTTTTTCTTCATCACCAGGAATTTTCTCACTGAAATAGACAATTTTCACAAAATCAAATTGAATCATTGTCAAAACTTTTAAACGCTTAATTTTCAGGCAGTTCTGTCAGTCAGTTTTTTTGTTTTTTTTGAAGATACTGAAGTAAGAATTTTTTTAAAATCTTTGAACGGAAAATAGGATAACAACAGTAATACCATTCCACCCCTCTATTCTTTTTCCTTTCATCTATGTGATTATCAAAATTAATAAAGCCATTTTCTTCCCTCATCTAAATTTGACATATTTTTACTTCTAGCATATTTTATGGCCCAAATCACAGTTAGTTCCCAGTTGTTCTTAAACTGACCTGCAAAATAATGTTGGCATAAATTTAAAGCATTATTTTTAAGAAAAAAAACAGCGACATTAGTTAAGAGACCATGACTTGCACATATGGGAAATAATAAAGAAATATTTTCAAAAAAAAAAGTGAATAATAGAATTTTATTAATTCCTGTTAGAAATTTAGCACAACCAGCTCATTTATTTATTATTACCATTAGCTTTGATGGAGGAACCTTAATGGTAATTATATAATATAATGACACTGAATTATTAATGGAAATGGACCCCTTTTATATTTTAAAATATAAATGTACATACTTATTTAGATGACATAGTTTTACTTTAAAAATCTCATTTTAACTTTGTCTCTACAACTTGTAACTTTATGTGCCATCCCTGTTATTTTGGGGGGGGGGGGGGGGGGGTTGCCGGCATTTTCTACAAAAAATTGAAGTTACAATAATTACCATGTAAAAAAAAAAAAAAATCAATTTTAGCTTATGGCAAAAATGGAACCAAAATAACAAATCTTGGCCCTGCAAATCTTCTCATGTCATACATTAGTGGGGTTTATAGAGTTATATTTGCTTCCTCTAAAATTTCTCTATTTTTGCGACATACAACCAGTTCAGCCAGGGGACAAGAACATAAGTAAATGAAATATTTATTTATATGTAAGGATAAGGAAAACAAGAAGCAAAGATTTTATGATTTGTTAAAATCTTAAATGTAGTAGAGTGTGAACAGTGTATTCATAACTACAAATGAGCACTGTCATAGGTATACACAGCCACAATGGATTATTTGTTACTGAGAAGGTGATCAATAAAACCGTTATTCAGTGGGAAATCAATAGCAGGAGAGATCAGGGTGGGGATATTGATCAAATATACAAAGTTTAGTCCACCCCGTCACACATTTGTAACTAATAAAGGTGTAATACATGACTTTTCAAATCATTTCAGTGCACAGATTAGGTAGCGATTGAGATATGCATAAAAGGGAGAAAAGGAAAAGGAACGAGACAGAGCGTGCTTGCTTGATCTGTCATACATGGCCATAGATTTGAATACTTTACATTGAAAGTAAAAACATTATTTCCTTATCAGCTTTATTCATGTAAAATATTATCTAGATAGCGTTCTCTTAGATAACCAAGCATAGAAATCACAGAAGCCTTTCTTTTTTGGAGTTTGTCAGGAAACGAATGAGCTCAGTGAAAAATTGAATCATATTTAACTGTGCAACTAAACATGAATTTTGTTTTCAAAGTGTCGTGTTTTTTAAAATAAATTTCTAGAACATAATCATTGTAGAGAATAATATTAAAATTTCCCCTTTTATGTCAAATATAAGCTTTTGGGAGAAAAAAGGTTTCCTCATGAAGATATATCACTTCCCCTGATTGAGATCACTTACCTTAATGGAGATACGTCGCTGTATTCTTCAGAGGCACCTGATTCATCCTCTTTGTCTGTAATACAATCTTGATTGTCACTTTCTCCCTCAATGCTGCCGTCAAAGTCTTCATTGTCAGAAATTTCATTCCTATCACTTCTTTTGCAAGGCATAACTTTCATTTGTTCTGTAAGATTTGAGCTTTTTGGTAGTCCTCCGTCTCCCTGAGGTCTTTGTTCAATTTTTGTGAGTTCAGACTTCAAACTTGCTAGTTTAAATAATTGTTCTTGTTCAGTGACTTTGGAATGTTTTTGTAGCTTGTGCAATGGTATAGTAACATAATTTGCTGGGTCTGTCGATGGTCTTGTAATTATAACCTCTGACTCCAGTGCTTCACCTCTGATGGAACTATTTTGAATGTTTATTAGTGTTTTTTTATCTTTAGTCACTGATAATAAATAATGGCGCATGCTGGGCTTTTCAAAAACTGCATAGGAATTTTTGCTTGAAGACATGGGGCGTAATAATTCATCAAATGTTGATGGATGAGCATTTTGGCTCACCTCTGAAGTAGAATCAGGTAATGACTTTTGAATCACATCAGTTCTAGCCTTATTATTGGAATTTACATCATTAGCAATATTTCTGTTGTCTTTTACAGTTTTCCTGATGTTAACGTTACCCGTCATGGTATTTGTCACTGGCATTCTTTTTAAGTGGATGTAGTTAACTGTTTTTCCTTTATCTAAAGAAGAAAAAAAATTAATACTTCAATATTTACTATGTAACTTATAAATTTTTTTCCATGAAAACTAGATGGTGTTAAATATATTTTTTTGTATAATAGAAAATGGGAACAAAAAAATTAAAGTTTTTAAATTAGACAATATGTGGCACTTCTCCTACACATGAGTATACTCATTTGAAAATATTGTAAATTAACATTAAGTTTAAAAGAATATGATCTTTAAAAAAAAATCAGAAGGTTAAGGGGAGCTTAAGTGGGCCTTTTTTAAATATCTACCCCACTTGCTCTACATTTAAACATCCCAGGGACACGCACCCATATATGAAATATTAATATGTGAAACCATGTGTGCATGGCTCTCAATCACAAATCTACAACAACTGAACAATTGCCACCAAACTTTGCAAGAATTCTTCCCTTAGTTAACTATACAATACTGTAGTTAGATGACAAAACTTACAATGGAATATGTCAAATCTCAGCTCAGAAATGTACAAAAGCCATAAAACAAAATATTTTTCTGATATATCACCTTTGCATATATTATTCTAGAGTGAGATGGTTTTAATACAATGCTTTAAGCAGCAGAACACAGATGCAAGGCATTTTCCCTTAGAGTTACCCAAAAATAGTCTTAGAACTTACAAAAAAAATAGTTTCAAAATTTCCCCCACTCTTTTTTTTTGCCTCACATCATTCCCAAGGTTATGTTTATCTGTTGTTGAAAAATTGACCAGGTTTCACATGTGTCAAAATAACTTTACCTTAAAATACTACAACTACAATTGATTATCATTTTCTACTGCTCAAGTTTTATTAAAACTGACTAACAAAACAGCATGAGAAACAAAATGTAGTTAAGGTAACTGGGTGTTTCCTTGGGCTCTAAATCTAAATTGGCAAAGCTAAGGATACAACAGACAACAAAAATCATGAAGGATGTTGGAGACAGACTAGAAGTAAAAGTAAAACTTTGCAAACGTAAATGAAGCTGTTCTGCCATTGCACATCTTAACAGACTAAACTAGTCAAGTGCCTAGGTAAAATGCACTAATAGGTTTGCAGTGCACATATTTCCTTGTTTGTTCCTAGCATATATCAATGATCTGCCCGAGAAGCTGACCTCTCAAGCAAGACTGTTCGCAGACGACACGGCAGTATATAGGACAATCGTCAACAGCTCTGACCAGAGCCAGCTTCAACAAGACCTCAATCGGTTAGCTGAGTGGGAGATGAGCTGGGACATGGAATTTCATCCCGTCAAGTGCCAGACCCTGTCAGTCTCCAGAAGCAGGTTCCCTCTAAACCACTCTTACGAACTGCATGGCCATATTCTTGAGCCAGTTTCCTCCGTAAAGTACTTGGGTGTTACCATTCAAAGAGAGGTCCGCTGGGACGAGCACATTAACAGTGTGTGCAACTGGGCAAACAAGACCCTGGGGTTCTTAAGGCGCAATCTGAAGATCGGAAAATCAAGCGTGAAAGAAAAAGCCTATAAAGCCTTTGTCCGGCCTATTTTAGAGTACACTTCTACAGTCTGGGACCCATTTACCCAGAAAAGCATCGACAGGTTGGAGGCGGTCCAGCGACGGGCAGCACGCTTTGTCATGAACCGCTACAGAAACACCTCAAGTGTTGGAAGCATGCTAGAAACACTGGGCTGGTCTACATTGGAAGAATGACGGCGACTATCCAGGCTCACCATGTTGTACAAGATAAAAAATGGGCTGGTCCACTGCTCCGGAATCAAACAGAAACTCGTTCATCTTCCCCCCTAGACCGCGACAAAGCCACGACAGACAGTTCCGGCTGTTAAAAACAAGAACAAAGTACAGGAGCTCCTCATTCCTGCCGAAGACAATAGGGGACTGGAACAAGCTTCCAAAAGCAACAGTTGAGGCGGCTACACTCGACACATTTGTGTCTATTGCCTCCTGTATATGAGTCGCCCTTGCAACCAGTGAAGCATCCCATTGAAACCCATGCACAGTAACATCGCAAACCCCTCTGAAACATAGGAGCCAGAATGATCAATTCATTGATCGTGGGCCCTCAAAATAAAGAAGAATAAAGAAGAAGAAGAATTTACACGATTCCGACAAGGCTTTTAAGTCTCATTGATTAAGGGAAATTCTATTTTTAATTTTCCACAAACAGTTCTGCCTCTGCTGTTCCACAAAACCAGAAATCTTGATAGTAATTATATTGTAAAATTAAGCATTGCTCAAGTTATTATTTGTCAGGGTTTTTTTTTTATTAAGCAAAAGTAATTTATGTATAAATTACAAACTAGTATATTTATTGGGTTCCCAAGTATTTTCTCATTCTTTTAAAATAGAAATAGTGTAAAACCTAAGTTATTTGATAATTGGTATAACAAACAATTAAATTGAGTTCATTGATCTTAAATTTGGTATTTGAAGCAAAAACAACAACCAACAAGAGAATTGTGCTCACCTGTGTTTAAAGACTCACTTCTTATTTGTTGTTGACGTTCAGGTGTGACAGAAATTTTGGACTGTTTACCAGCTGCTAAAGGCTCATAATTCAATGGTCCTTCTTGTTTTATTTCCACAGAAGAATTTTCATTGATGAGTTGATTGGGGGTTTTCAAACCAGCTGGATTTGAGCACTCTTTATTGTGTATGGGTAAATTTGTTAATACCTGAGGGCCATTTAACCCCATGTATGAAACATTGGTTTTGTTAGATGGAACGTCTTGCTGAGCAGTTGCAGTAGTTGAAGAAAAGTAAAATTTTGATTGCAAAACCTTGCTGTGAAGGGACTGTTTAGCCATAGAGTTAGAGCCAGAACTGCTTGGAGGAGGTTGTGTAATTTGAGACTGTGGCACACTGGTATTTTGGCTTTGCTTTGAGGGCTCAGTTTTAGTTGATAATATAATTGGCCTGAGAAAAGAATTCCTTTGTACATATGGGTTGGGTTTATCAGCAATTTGCGAAATACCTCCATTTGGTGAAGCTCTAGATTTCATTTGTTCACTATATATATCTCTAACTTCAAGAGCAGTTACAGGTCTAGCATAAGGATTTAATGGGGTTGAATTTCTTCTCATTTTTGGAGTAAACAACAGTATTGGAGGCTTTTTAGCTTCAACTGGTCCCTCGGTTGGAGGAAGATCATGAACAATTATTTGACCAGGATTGTACACCACATTTATAGGTAATGAGGAATCTTGTTTTTTATGCAAAGTGTCACCATAACTTAGAGGATGAGCAGCACTTGATGTGTTGGCAGTAATTTTTTTGAAAACAGATTTACTGCTTCTTTGCCTTAAGAGCAACTGTTTTCTTAAGGAAATGTCTTCAATGTCTCCTGCATATTTTACTGACTCTGGAACTTCAAATGAGGTCCTCCTCTTTTCCATGATATGCTTATTTGCATTGGGATCCAAAATGGCCAATGCAAACTGCAATACTATTCTGCAGCGTTGCTAGTCAGTTAAATCATCATTTTTCTTTAAAGAACTAGATGGGAACAAATGAAATAAAAAAAACATATATAAAAATAATAATATTTGTTTACATATAGGGTAGCATCACATATTCATTTTAGGCTTAAAAAAGTAGTTATTTTTATTAAATTACTAGCTATAGCCTGCCAAACAATGGTGGCCGCATTGTATGAACTTCCCATCTACTAAAGTTACTTGACAAAACATGCATTCAAGCAATGCACTTTATAAGATTCCCAATTAGTGCTACCCCTCCCCTTATGCCACCACCCCTCAACTGTATTAATATTCTAATGTCCCACACCGTTTCACAATGCAAATTTATGACACCAAAAGTTGTAGCCCGTCTAACAATGGTGGTTGCACTTTGTGAACTTCCCATCTACAAGAGCTACTTTACAAAACATGCACTCATGTAACTCACTTTATAAGAATCCCATTTACTAGTTCCACCTTCCCCTCTCCACCAGGTTAACAACCACACACTTTTTTCATGCCCCTGAATCATATTAATATTCTAATGCCCCACCCACTTTTATACTGCAAATTTATTATCTCATATTTAAATTGAGACTATTTCCATAAAACAATAGAAACTGTTATGCACCAAACACACTTTGAGAATCTCATTTAGCGCAGTTAATTTTATTTTGTGAAATCAGAGCCATCTGGTAGCATTGGTGACATTGTTACATAGAGAATCATATATTCTGATTTACTGGTTATACAGTATGTATGACCATCAAAGCAATATGAAAAATTACTTCATGTAATAAATGATAATACTACACTACTGCTATGGTTCTTCGCTCCATTATTGTAGCCTAATAATAATTGTTTTTTTCTAATCCCTGTCACCCAAATGATAATTGTCATTAATTATAAAATAATTAAATAGCTACAATATTTAACTACCGTAGGCATTTCAAGGCAAATTGAATTAAAAAAATAATAATCGGCAGACATGATGTTGCAAGGTGGGTTATCTGTTCTGACAATTTTCTTATCCATACGTGAAAAGTGATACAATTTTCAAGTACTTTATATCAGGATTTAGCAATGTCCAATGTGTGAACCCTTTAAACAATTTTTACAGTTTTTCCCCACTCAAAAAAAATTCAGGTGGATTTTGGTGTTATCAATCATAAAATTTTTTCATCTTGAAATCAGGTTTGTTCAAGACGAATTAAAGCCTATTAGTCTGTTCAAAAAGACTTTTGGTCAGTGTAGTATCTAAAAATAACAGCAGGGGTATGGCTTTCTATCAAGCTATAAAAGGGGATATTATTCCCAAAAAGACTTGGCTCCGAAAAAGAGAATCAGTAAGGAGAAGCTTTTTGAATTTTTTAACCAGTAATTTTGAGATAAAAACATAGTTAACACTTTATTTTTGTAAATCTTCATAAGAAGTACATGGCCTGTAAGTATTCTTTTAATGTCTATTGTTAAAAAATTCCTACTCTATACACTAGCACAAGGCTATAAACTAGTAAATGTGTTGTCTCATAAATTGTGTTTCTTCTTTTATTCAGATCAGGGTGGCCTCATGCAGCCTACAAAGCCAAATAGTGTGGCATGCAGATGTCTGATTTATCAAAATAAACATATTTGCTCTTCATTCAATTAAGAAAGAAATTTTTTGTTGAAAGATAATTGATAGAAAAGATAAAATGATATCACATTAGTTTAGTTTTAGTCTGTATGGTGACTTAGCTATTCATTTTGTGTGGGCTATTAGGAATAGATAAACAATTTCTATACAGCATTTAATTGGTGTTTATTTTAATATAAGTTGTAATGACATGTGCCCCACAAATAGTTTATTCACTATCAAAGTGGCCAGAAGAGCCTTTTGGGTTGGCCACCCATCATTTAAATCATCTCCTTTATTTGGTGCAGTATTAACCTCATTTAGAGGATGAATAGCTAGAGTTTTTTTCCTTGTTTTTTGTTCTTGTTTTTTTCATGATTCTATGCTGCTGACAGCTTTTAAATGAAAATTGCTGAATCTAACATTAAAAAAGAATGTTGGGCTTAGACATTTTACTACATTTCTCTACTGTAATGAGACTTTTGATGATCTTGCTTTAGAGCATTAATGCAGAATGTGATACTAATGCTAATAAAATAAAAACGAATAGTAAAAACATACTCAATGGTGACATTCAACATTGTTACATGAATTTTACAGTGTCAAAGTAACTCAGATGTACATTAACATTGTTTGGATTCATAACAAGTCAAAATATAAAAGAGGGAAAAAAATTACTTGCTTAATCTAATTATTTAGTTTTTAAGTAATGCCAGGTAATCCCTTATTTTAGCGCAGTAGTTTATTTAAATATTAGTAAGATTAAAGAATAAAGAGGACTTAGCCTTAGAAGATGAAGTTGAAGTGTATCATTTTTTTAACAGAGTGGCTATTCTGACCTGGATATCAGAAGTGAGAGGTTGGGATTAAAAAATATTTAAAATATTATTTTTCGGTTTGTTTGTAAGACAAAATTTGGTATCAAATGAAAGATAATTGAAAGGACTGTATGTTTGTAAACTTATTTCTTCAGTTTCACTAAAATAAACTACCACAAATGACATCAGAATAGCATTTAGTTTTAGTCCTAAGTCTAAACCAGGGTCCCACAAGCTGCTATGCCTAACAGGCTCCCTTTTGTTTTAGACTAAATTAAATGCCATATATATAATATATAAATATAATTCAGGATGACATTTTTATTCATTTTTGGTGGTTTATTATATTTAAACTGAAGATGTAAGTTTACAAAGATAAAGTCCATTCAATTAACCTATCTTAATAATATCTTTCATTTGATACCAAAATTTATCTTACAAACCCTATAATAAAAATAATATGCTAAATATTTTTTTAATAAACCCAATCTCACTTCTCTCTGATTGATACCCGGGTCCGAGGCGAATAGCTGAAGCCATTTTTTAAACTGAATATCAGATATTATTCACAATCAGGCTACATATAATAATTACCAGATTAAAAGTGAAAAACAAATTACTTATTAATTTAAATTAGAAAATCAATATTTATGAAAACCTTTCAATTTTTCAACTTTGGTGTTGCCTCCAGTAATTTAACTAGTCCATATGTTCCGCCATTGATCAACAACAGCTAAGATGCTAAGAAACAGCGGTAAGCTACAGTTTTATCCAATCAAAACAAAGAATATTAAAGTGAGTTTGGTTATCATAAGGGGAGAGCAATAAGAAAAAAAAAATATTGAGAAATTGGTGCAAGCGTTCGTAGTACGTGCTCCTGTTACCTACCACTACCACCTATTTTATTGCGTTCCGACTTCAACACATTTTAAATGAAAGTTGAAAACTACCTCTTTCACCATAATCTATTGAACTACTTTTCTGTAGTCTACTAACACATTACATTTAAAATAATAATGTAGGCATAAAACTAGAAGTATGAAATAAATTGTTCGACAGAATGATTCCCCATATCAGTTCTGTGGTCAGGGCTTCTGTCATCTGCGCGCCCTGGGTCAGCTGCGTCCTCAACTCAATAAAAGACAGTGGCGTTGCGAGGGTGTTTGGCGCCCGGGGACAAGATCCATTTTAAAGCACCCCTTTTTCCTTTTTCAACTCTCAAACCCATTATTTTCATCAATAAAATAATATCAAAGCACATTTTGGCGCCCCTAACTAGCTGGCGCCCGGGGACATCTGCCCCCCTGCCCCCACCACGCTACGCCTCTGATAAAAGAACAGCCAATGCTGTAGCGGTAACTCTAATGCAGTCAAGATTATATTACTGTAACAGTTGTTTGTGGGGTTTACCTCAGAACAAAATTCAGAGACTCAAGAAAGTACATAATACTACAGCACGCATTGTTTCGCGGACATCTGACCATGACCACATCACCCCAGCTCTACGAGCTCTCCATTGGGTTCCTGTGAGTTAGCGCATTGACTTCACAATTCTGTCCCTGGCGTACAGCTGCATAGAAAGCTCTGCACCGGAATGTCTTAAAGAACTGATTTCTAAACACGTATCCTTATTGCGGTCTTCAAAACAGTCCTTACTGAAATTCCCAGTTTGAATGGACACAGAAAAAAAGTATTACGGAGTGCGCTCTTTTGAAGCGATAGCGCAAAAATTATGGAACAGTTTGTCTCATTCTTTGAGGGGAATTGAACATGATAAAAAATCATTAAGAAACATTAAAAAACTTTTTTTGTTAAAATAGATTTAAGAAAACAAGAGCGCAGTGAGCATGCTAAAGTAGCATGGATACCAGGGCTATATAAATATAAATAATAATAATAATAATAATAATAAGTGGTCTTATATAGCGCGGTACCCCAGACTAGGGCTGGGCTCACCGCGCTGTACATAAATATAGCAAAGAGGCATAATCATGATATTAAAATATAATACATAAATGAAATAAAAACAACATATAAGCCAAACAACACCAGAGGTATATTCACCCACCCACACCAGAAATTTTACAAGGAAACCCATGTACGTTTATCGGTTTATAGGAGGGGAATCAGTCAGGGTAGTATAGTTTGAAGAGATGTGTTTTGAGTGCAGTTTTGAAGGCCTGTGTGGTTGGTATATTGCGGATGTGTAGTGGCAAAGAATTCCATTGTTTGGGGGCGCAGAAAGAGAATGATCGTTCACCATATAATTTAGTGCGTGTCTTGGGAACGGACAGAATACGCGAATCTGCGGATGAGCGAAGTTGTCGAAGGGGTGAATAGACAGAAAGAAGTTCAGTTAGATAGGAAGGGCAGGAATCCGAGAAAAAGTTGTGACAGAGAACAGACAGCTTGTAGTCAATGCGTGCCTGTATAGGGAGCCAATGTAGTGAGTGGAGTAGTGGAGTGACGTGATCGCGTTTTTTTGCCTTAAGAACAAGCCTAGCAGCAGAGTTTTGAACTTTCTGCAGTTTTTCTATGAAATGTTTCGGTGAACCTGACAGAAGTGAGTTGCAATAGTCAAGACGAGAGAGAACAAGAGCACAGACTAGAGTTTTTGTTGCGCTAACTGTGAGGTAGTGGCGGATGGAGCTGATCTGACGGATAGCGGTGTATGCCGAACGACAAATGTGAGAGATATGTTTATCGAGAGACATGTTGTTAGAAAGAATATAACCAAGATTCCTAGCAGAGGGTGTAAACTGTATGTCGGAGTTACCTACTTGAAATGAGGTGGGAAGAGTTGAGGTAGAGGATGATTTGTGATTGTAAATGAGGAGTGCTTCAGTTTTGTCATCATTAAGCTTCAACTTGCTGAGTGTCATCCAAGACTTGACATCATCAATGCACCCCCGCAAAGTCTGGACAGCGGAATCGACAAGAGATGGATGGGTATGCATGTATAGCTGCGTATCATCTGCAAATGACTGGTTCTCAACAGCATGCCTCCCAAGCAAGAGGAGCAGTGGCCTGGTATACATTATGAATAGAACCGGACCCAAAACGGACCCCTGTGGCACTCCGTACACCAAATCAGCACTGCCGGAGAGACAGCCATCGACAGAGACCATTTGCGTTCTATCAGAGAGGTAGGACCTAAACCAAGCCAAAACTGAACCAGAAATTCCAAAGTAATTTTCAAGGGTTTTGAAAAGGATTTTATGGTCAACAGTGTCAAAGGCCGCACTGAGGTCTAAGAGGATCAGAATGGAGACATTACCGCTGTCCATTGCGCGCAAGAGGTCATTACTGACTCTCAAGAGAGCTGTCTCCGTGCTATGGAAATGTCTATAGGCCGACAGAATGGAGACATTACCGCTGTCCATTGCGCGCAAGAGGTCATTACTGACTCTCAAGAGAGCTGTCTCCGTGCTATGGAAATGTCTATAGGCCGACTGATTAGAACTGAGAAGAGAGTGGTCATTTAAGTAAGCAAAAAGTTGTTTTAGGACTAGTTTTTCAATAACTTTAGATAAAAATGATAAGTTAGATACGGGTCTATAGTTTTTTAAATTATTTTCATTCAGACCAGGCTTCTTAATAAGCAATGGTTTGATGACAGCTGATTTGCAAAGAAGCGGAACAGTGCCATAATATAAGCTTTCATTTATCCAATCAATCAATCCTGAAAATAATAAACCGACTAACACACCTCAAAATTATGCGTGACCATGCACTTCTCAAATACTATAATTAAAGTATAGCATTAAAAATTTTATGAAAAGATAAGCCTAAAGCTCACTCATTTGAATTTATTTATGTCCCCCACATCACATGTCCAAGGGGAGAAATGCGATGTTTGTGATAATGAGGTTGTAGTTTACGAAATCTCGCTTACTATAAGATAGAGGATACATTGAAAAGCCTTGAAATTTCTGTACAATATGATTTTATAACTATACCTATCTCATAATTTACTCATAATTGCATATTTCAAAGCAGGCCTGCACAACATACGACCCGCCCACCCACTTTGCGGTCCGCGAAGTAACGAACTATTCTTTATTATTATTATTTCTTAATTATTAATAGCTTTCCCCCTGTCCAATTTTCGTTCGGCCCCCACAAGTTTATCATAAAGTATTAAAGACCGCTTTACATTTTGAGCTCTGAAGGCCTGTTTTAAAGAACCAACAGTAACATTTAGTTAAGATCGTCCGTCCGTCGAATCGCCGAGAACCATTCTATCCGAGTTTGGCTGGACCTGGTTTCCTTGAGTTCACAAATGTCTGATGGGGTTAATCTATAGGCCTACGCATAAAAATGGTGTACAATTCTGGCTTGTCTATTGAGCTCCGCTGCAGTTTTTTTTAAATTTATCTCATGCAGCATAGATCTTTTGTGTTCTGAAGAGCCATAATATGGTTGATAATTCCAAAGGCAAATAATTGCTGCAACTGTCATGGTGTCTATGAAGCATTTTCTTTCTTACTTCCATGGAGACTCGTGTAGTCTTGTAGCTCGTCATGATGAGGAAATAGTCCTTTTGTCCCACTAAGATGGTTAAGATGCTTTGGAGACTTGGCAGATTTAACAATTCAGATCCTAAAACATTGTCCCGAAATGATGTGGAGGCTTTCGCTAATGCTGACATTTAAAAAAAAAAACAGTTCAGCATCCTTGTACTTGGCGCTTGTAGACTTCCAAGTTTCGCAAAGAAAGAGAAAAGTAAGGGGGAACCGAGGACAATTGATCGAAGATAGCGCTGTCTATGGCAAAGCAGAGGTTCACCTCGCTGTCGATAGGTACAGCATGTTGAAGAAAAGGAAGTTAAATAATGCCAGGACACAACCTTGCTTGGCGACGTTCGGCTCAGACACTTTTCAGTCGTCCAAGGCATGAGTCTGCATTCCATTATGGAAAGCGTACACCATGGATAAAAAAAATTAAAATTATTGAACATCGATACTTGGCCATGATCTTCCAAAGACCTTCTCTTACGACAGTGTCAGGTGGACTTAAATGGAGAAAATGACGGCACATTGCTCGATAATATTATATCACTCTTGTGGTCTCCTGTCTCTTTGACACCATTTCGATGCCCCTACGTTATTTCTGGAGTAGCCTACACTACATAGTGGTTTTCTGTTAGTTGCCCTTTGACAAAATCTTCAGAGGGCTAATTGACCCACTTCCCATCATCCTATCGAGCTGAAACTTGGGCCATAGACTCGTTGTCGGTGACAACACACTATCAAATTTTCAGCCCCACCCCCAAAAATACAATTTATCCCGTTTTTCAAAGGGAAGATGAAGGAAATATGATGCAATGATTTCTTAAGAACTGTAGTCATCCCTAAGTGGCACAAAAATGCATAAATGGAATTATATGAAAAAACTTTGTTTTGTAGGGGTTGTTTAATTATAGTAGTATTATTAGTATAGGATTTTATAAAATTTGTACTAGACTCTTCCCGACCCCACAATGTCTGCATTTTGGTCTTGCTGTGACTGTTAAATTATAACTCCACACTTTTCCCCTGCGCTGTCGAGACTGCGAATACTGCAATATATGGCGCTTCAACTCGCCCGATGATTTTGTTAAATTATTCCCTGTCCGTTTAAACTGAATCAGTGTGACGAGTCTTTTGATTTTTCTTCTTTTAATTTTAATTAACCGCATGCTCGAATTGTGAAATTTATTACTTTAACACTTCAATCATTTGTTCGGGCACCACATAACCGGACTTAAAATATCAATGTCATGCAGTGGCTCCAAGCCAGATGAATTGTTTTCCCATTAGTATTAGGGGCAGCTCTTAGGCATGCCAGTGTCAGTGTCATCTCTAATTCTATGTCATTCCATGTGACGTTTTATGAAGGAATAATTTGATTCTAAAAAATTAATATTTTTTAACAAACATGTAATATAACTTGTTTACAATTGATTTCTTCAACAAATAAATGACATAAAATACAATTACAAGACTATAAATTATAAAGTAACAACACATAGTAACAAGTGAAGATGAATTATTATTTTTAATAGTTAACAATAACATTGCTTTTACTTTTAGCTTCTCCTTGGCATCTTAACAAATCCAAATCAACCTTAAATTATTTTACCTCTGGCAAGGAGAGTTACAATTTTTTTGCACAACAAATTTTGAGTCCAAGCAAAATAGGAAACATATTTAGATAATCTTCTTTTTAAGCTGTGAGTGACATCAGATCAGTAGAACTGATTCTTATTTTTTTTACATTGGAGAAAAGAAAATATAGTCAGAGGTAAACTTATTGCAGACTTTACAAGTAGTACCATAGTAGAAAACAAATAAATAAACAAAGAACAATTTCAACTTGTATGTCATTAGATATCTTGTTGGGATATCAGTTTCACAAAAATAACGTAATATTTCCATGAAAAAACCACAGAACTTGTACAAAATACAGGTGATGGTCCTGTCATAATTTATTTTTGCACTTTTAAAAATTATACCGCTTCTGCCATGTTTTAAAACATAACTTTGCAACAGATCTACAAATCATATTCTGTTTTTTAACGACATGAACTGCAATCTTACAGCAATCATATTCAAACACCCATTCTTTTATAAATATTACACAGATGAAATTCAGGGCAACAAGCTGAAGTCATACATAACTCAAGTGTTTTTTTTCCTCATTTGAGAAAATATTGTCTTAAAAAAATATTCAAGAACAATTTTATAATGATCCCCACAAAGGAAATGTTGATAAGGAAATCACAGGCAGGCATGGGCCCCCGCAGAAAACTTTCTAGGGGGGGGGGGGGGGCAAAAAAAAATCGATTAACTTTCCAGGGAAGGCAAATTTTTTTTAGTAATGTTTTAATATAGTTTTAATTTACTGTAGCGTATTTGTATGGTGAACGAACGGACAGGACATCAGCTTAGTTACTTTCTCTTTATTTTCTCTTTACTTTAATAAATTTTTTGGTCTATTTTTGTCTAAAATTTTTTTTTTGCCAATCAATCCAGGGCACGCAGGCAGTAATTTTATTCTTAAATACATGTTTTTATAACCTTCAGTTTATACAAGTAAACAAAATGCAATATGGAATTAGCTTTTCTTTTCATATTTTGTTTTATAGTACATTCCAGCTAGCATTGCAAATATAGCAAAGGCTTGTCCTCCAACTCTCAACCTCATCATCAGCTGTGCTTTGCGACCATCTCCTGTTCTTAGTGTTGAAATACCAATACCCAAAACGACAGTAGTAAAAATAACACCTGAAAATGAAAAATTCAAGTAATTTATACATCCTTAATTACAATTATGTGGGTGTGCATTAAATGCAGTCATTTAATGAAATGTTCAAATTTTAACCAAAGCTTCGCAACCCTGGCACTCTGGTGTACTGTGAGACTATGCTAGGTGTGCCATGGCAAAATTCTTCTAAAGGGATAAAATTAATTTTAAGATGATTTAAAAGTGTTATTCTGATTAACAGCACAGCACCACTTCATATTTAAATTTGGCGGTCGACACGAAAAGGGATAAAATTAATGTGAAGACTATTTAAAAGTGTTATTCTGATTAACAGCACCACTTCATGTTAAATTTGGCGGTCTACGCAAAAAGTCCCCATCTCAAAATGTGTGAAGGACCAGCAAAATGTGTCTTTAGCCTTTGATAAAATTGAACTCATGCTTTTCACGCCTGTACTTTGCTTGTTGTTAAAAAATTGGTAACGCTTCCAAAGTAACATATAATGCCGACAGATTGAAATAAACCCAAAACAAACCGAGACTCATGGTACAGAAGATCTTTCATCTGATTTTTTGAAACAGTCAAACACAAGGGGATTGTGTGACATTACGTTTTTAAAATATTGCTTTTGTTTCATTTTTATTCTTTTTGGCATGTGTTTTTTAGCTTTGAAATAAATATTGTAACTTTACACATAGATATCATTACTGAGAAAGTGGTACCGGTAGCTGATAACATTTGTATAAAAAGACTATTTTAATTTTGTGGTCCTTTGTATGCTTACATTTACATATTTTATATTTGAAATATAATATAAAAACCGCTTTAACTGGACACAAAAACAAGCAGATATGTGTAAAAAAAAATTTTAAAAAATGAAGATGGTTAAAAGCCATTTAAAAAAAAGCTTATGTTATTTCTGTTTTATTGATATTTGCCCTTAAATAGTGAAAACTATTTAATGTTATATAATTTGGTATACAAGATCTATCGGCTTGTGTTAATTTCACGTCTATAAGAAAGAAAAAAAAACTTATTTATATTGTTGGTGCATGTAAAAAAAACCCCCAGTAAATCAGTTTTTATTATTTGTTTTAATTTTGGTGTGCTGCGGAAATCCTCGAAGGGTCTATATATGCCGAGATGTTAAAATATTGCAGAGTACCAATTTTAAAAAACTACATTACCACCACTCTTTTATAACAGGTTACCATTGCTTTGAATGAAGAAATGTGATTTTTCTGTGATTTGAACACACACCTGGCAAACCCTCCTACATGCCTCAGCAGACTAGCATCGCTAGTTCAATTGGAAACATGCATCAATGGACAGTTATTAATTGTTCCAGTGTTAATTAAATGTAGCATAAACTTTAAATTATTGTACAGGAGAGACTAGTTCACAGCTACATCATGACAACTGTGGTCCATTGTAGTATTAATAGGCCTACTATTACTATTATTATCTTTAGAGTTAGAGTCATCTAAAACTTAGGAACATAGACATCATACTGTCCTACAACAGTGCCATCCCTAGTAAGCTTATTAACCCGCAAACTGTCAAGTGTAATCATGCTGTGGTGTCAAGCCTTTTTTTAAAAACGTTCATTTCTTTTTTGGCATCTATCCGTCACAATGTGATGGTAGTATGGACTTCACAGGAAAAAATCATAAGGCCTGGGAAGATAGGCTGGTTCCCTAGCCAGCACATCTTTCTACGCATCTGTTGAACTTCCCAGAGCCCAGGCCGATTGTGCCCCACCGTTAGAGTCTACACCTATTACGTCGCAGTGCGAGTGACCAGCGAGAGGGAGAGGCAAACAAGACTGCTGTGTGTGTGTGTGATTTGGATCTGACCTACTTACAGAGGACAAGATAGCCAGTCGTAACTTAGTGCATAGAAATTAGTATTAGAGAGTATACCTATTTAGTATTTATATGTTTATATTATGTGTAATAACATGTGTGTAGTTAATTCTTCTTGTAATTAAATATTTATTATTCGTGGGCTGAACCACCTGTGTTCTTATAGTCATAAAGTAATAGTATTAGTAGAAGTGAGCTAGTAAGAGAGAGTCATTGAATATTAGTGTGAGTGGAGTGAGGTTAGCTTAGAGTATTTATTAGTAGATAAAAATCATATCCCTAGCCATAGTATAGTAGGAGTTCAACTAGCGTCACACTAGTCATAGCCTTAGTAGTAGTACTAATTTTACATAACACCAGGGACCATAAAAATAATTTACGTATCAATGACACTTATGCAGGGAGTTGAAACTAGATATAAGTACTCCATGATTGAGTTTGTTTCTATCTCTAAGTCAAAGACAAGTGCTTATTAACTCATTCCCTCCGGCAGCGCTGCTTCCGGACTTAATTTATTTTCCTGAGAAAAGGGAAGCCACTCAGTTTTGAAATTGATTTATATTTTTAAAATATTTTTTTAAGTTGCTAAATATTATTTAATGTTAATGAATTAAGAACAAATGCAACAAAAAATGAATAAGGTTTAATATAAATATAACATTAGCGGGGGAAAAATAACGAACAATGGCCAAAAAAATCGATTTTGGGCACCTCGGACGAACACATGCTACATATAGACGCGCCGTACTAAAGCACACGTAGTTTTAAAGTGAAACAAGATAAAAACTTCCGGTTTCTAAATTAAAATCACGCAGAAATCACGCCATAGCCGGAAGTCTCGAGGGGTGCGAGATTTCATTGCTATTTTTAACTAAAAATAAGAGAGGTGTGTCGCTATGCGCCGGGACGCATTTGGACGCATCAGTAGGAACCCCCCGAGGACGCATTTAGTCGCAACCGTCGGGAATGAGTTAATCCCATGTCAGCCATGTCCATGGCAACCAACCCCAAAATTAAAATCATTGATATAGCATCCATGTAATCTTCCATGGCTGAATACACAGCTCAAGAAGCTGCCGAAGAGAAAGAAAAGACTGTTAAAGAAATCCCAAATTACCAACAACTGGACCCTGTACCGCCAAATCCAGAAACACTGCCGTAGGGAACTAAGAAGAGGAGAGTGGCAGCACATAAATGGAGTCATTCAAGATGGCCTCGAAAACAACAACACAAAACCCTTCTGGCGCTACATAAAATCCAAGAAGCAAGTCAACATTGGTGTAGCCCCCCACTACTAGAAAAAGGGCAACTTGAAAGCAATAGCCAATGCAAAGCAGAAATTCTCCTAAGGCAGTTTCAATCTGTCTTCACCAAAATTTCCACCACAATCATACCATCCCTAAAACCTTCACCTGGTACAATAGGCCCCCTCAACATAACTGAACCAGGAGTAGCCAAACTTCTCAAAAACTTGAAGCCCAATAAAGTGACCGGACCTGACTGTATCCCGAACATTGTCCCGAAGACCCTGGCTGACAACAGTGCCCCAACCATCACCCGAATTTTCCAAAAGTCGCTTGACTCCGGCAAACTCCCACTAGACTGGCTTGATGCAAATATCACTAGTGCCTACAAGAAAGGTGACAGTCATAACCCAGCAAACTACCGCTCAATATCTCTGACCTCCATCCCATGCAAAATTCTAGATCACATCATCTGTCACCACATCATGAACCACCTTGAACACTACAACATTTTGACCAACCTAAACCCACGGTTTCCGCTCTGGATTCTCCACAGAAACTCAATTAATCATCACCACCAATGACCTCCTTGCCTCCTTTGACAAAGGTAATCAGGTTGATATGAAAATGCTCGACTTCTCGAAGGCCTTCAACATTGTTCCACACAGCCTTCTTCAACACAAGCTCCACCACTACGGCATTACCGGCAACCTTCATTCCTAACACAATGGAGCATGCAAGTAGTGGTAGATTGCGTCTGATCAGGCAAAGCCTACGATGACCACAACCACCTCCAAGCAGATTAGAAGTGCCTTATGAATTGGGCGGACAAATGGGGCATGAAACTTAACGAAACCAAATGTTGCACAATGAGCATCTCAAGAAAAAAAAATAATTAACCAATATGTACTCCCTCAACAACACAATTCTCCAACAAGTATAAAATAATCCATACCTTGGAATTATCTTCTCGAATAACTTAAAATGGTCACCCCATATAAAAAAGTTTTTAAAAAAAAGTCAACTCCACACTAGGTTTCGTTTGAAGAAATCTGTGCCAATGCCAAACCTCCTGCAAACCAATTGCCTATCTTGCACTCGTCAGTCCACTACTAGAATATGGTGCAATCACCTGGGACCCATACCTAAAGCAAGACGTGGACAAGATGGAGCGAATCCAACATAACGCAGTGCACTTCATCGCATGTGACCACAAATCCACCCCTCCTGGCTTCGTTATTGGCCTCTTAAAAAGAATTGACATCCCCTCCCTCAATGACAGACGAGAAAAGCTTCGCCTAACATTCCAATTTAAAGTGGTCATGGGACTAGTGCCGGGCATGCCAGCAAACACGTATCTCACCCCACAGAAGCCAGGTCTCTTAATCAGGCTCAACGCTCACAAAGTGACGTCACTGCGCTTAGGGTGAGACAGCCCCTGGCAAAAAACATACCGTTAACCCAAAATTTACCACAACCTATAGTTATTAGTAATATTAGGGTAATCTTGCATGCCATATTTTATTTCTAATAAAGCGTCTTTGAACATCCTCCAATCTTCCATAGCTCCATTTGTTTTCTATTTTTCACTCTGCTGCCATATTTTTTATCACCTATAAGTTGGTATGCTAAACAAAATTTTCAAATTGTTCGCATGTTCATTAGATGTTCCGTTATTTTATAGGGGCCAAAAATTCTTTTTTTTTCTTATATTGGGTGTATAAATATAGTTCCAAACAAAGGCTCCTGCATGGGCAAGGGTGAATGGAACAAGATCAAACTTACACATGCACTTGATTATACATATTCAAAAGCCGGTACTGTAGGGTAATGAACTCATAATTTTAATTTTTCCTAAAACTAGCCAATATACACGGCGTCGCTCGTGATGGCATTCGGAAATGAACATCTTTAAAAGCCCTTTAGCTAACATCTAAATTATGGGACCTGTAAAACACTGGGAAATCGGAAAATTGTAATCTGGCATGTAGGGTGAATTAAAAAAACCACAAGAAAACGGAGAGATCGTTTACGCTACCGTCTATGCATCAATGGGGGCTGTAAAAATCAGAAAAAGAAAAGTTAGCGCTGTACAATTTAGTGTGTAGTGTTAATACTGTCTGGACTAAATTTTATAAAGAATACACCTAAGTTTACACACAATACGAAATGGGAAGCGTTATACGCAGTCGACTGCGCATAACCCTGAGGGTTATTCACAGCCGACTGCGTATAACTCTCAGGGTTATACGCAGTCGGCTGGGAATTTAGCCAAATAAGGTTTATTATCGCTTGTTTGGCAATTTAAAAAAAAAAGTATTATGCGTAATTAGCTGCATGATGGATTGTTTTGAACTAGAACTTTGAATGTGTTTAACGTAAAATTTTAATTGAATTAATTTTAATTAATATTGAAATTGATGATAGCAATAATATTAGTATTAGTGCTATTATTAGTATTATTGCTTGTATCTTATATATTATAATTATAAGTATAAGTCAAAGTCTACATTTCTGAGAGTCTAAGCCTAAGTCTTAGATTTTTTTAAAGGCATTTCCATGGTCTAAGTCTAGTCATGTATTTTGATTGATTAGGTTTTTATATGTTGCTATGACTATGTGGTTGGTTTTACTGACTAATTCAGGAAATACATTCTATTTATCTTTTTTTAAATTTTATCATTTATGGTTTTTTTTTTTTGATGACCTAAATGTAACAGTTTTCAGCTTCCATGCAAAACTATAACTGTGTGAAAGTATTACTTACACTGCCCCCTCTACAGAACCCCCTGCCCCTACAGCGATTTTTTTCCTGCTACTCTCAACCCATGATTATTTTTATTACTGTACAAGTGAAACATGATTGTATCTGCCACAAAATTAGATAACAACACAAACATATATTTGATAATTATAAGTATAACAATACTAACATTACATTGGTCAAGTTAATAATTCTTCTCATGTTTTAACATTTTTTAGCCAAAAAAAAAGTAAAACAATAAGCCTAGTTGTTGCTTCATTCTCGAGAAAAAGCATAGCAACTAACGTGTAATGATGGCTTGCCGTTGGTTGGAATTGAACTCAAGACCACCTACTTGAGGATTGGTCAGTTTAGACCATTCGACCACACAGTCACCCCAATATCAATGCGCCCTTATTGATTGATACTGAAACACAGGAAGAATATAGACGTCACGTGACTTGCCGACTGCGTATAACTCTCAGGGTTATACGCAGTCGGCTGCGCATAACCACTTCGATACGAAATTTTATCAGAAATAATATACGCACCTGAAATGCAAGATTACCACCAATATTAGTAGGACTAGTCAGTGTAAATTAGGGTGACCAAACCTCCCGTAAAAACGGGATTGTCCCGTTGCTTTACTATCATACCCGGTGTCCCGAAAAAGTCTCTCAGGGCGCCTAAATGTCCATTTCTAAAACCAAACACATTTTCAAATCACTGAAACTTCCTAATTTATAATATAACTTTAAGTAATATTTGGGCTAGCTGTGTAAGTGTAGCCAGTGCCAGTAGTGATGTGGGCTCGCATGATGGTTGCACTGTTCCCCCTCCACCACTCTGCAAAAATATTGTTTTCTTTTACGATATACCTCAACGTTTAAATTAAATTACAAAAGAGAAGGTAAATTTAAAAAGATTTCTAGGTCTCAAAATAAAATTAAAATGAGCATATTTAAATATAAAAAACAGTTTCCAGCTGAGGCCCCCCAGACCCCTCTTTTGCTCGAGGATATCCCCACTAACCCTCCGTGGGTGTGTCTCGTTTTTCCCAGTTCATCATGATTTGGTCACCCTAGTGTAAATACTACTTAAAAAAATTATTAAGACTACACTTCACTTTCAGTTCACAACCCTGTCTACTATTTTTTTATTTACTACTACTACTACCTACCAAGTGGGACAAACGGATTTTCTTTTGTCTTTGCTATAAGCTTTTCTTTAAGTCCCTGCTGTTCGTAAAATGGAGCAGGGGGTGGCAAATATGATAGCTCGTCATAACTTATTACTTTTGGCCCAGTCTCTGCTATAAATTCAGCTTGCGCTACCCTCACTATCTTGTCCTTGGACGTCATGTCTTAAACTAAGAGTGTTAGTGTTAGTGTTATGAAAACATTTGCAAGTTCCGCTGGGTGATTTGATTCTGTGATCTTCAGTTGTAATACTCAGCTATAGTTTCGAAAAAAATATAATTACATGAAAACTGTCTGAAGTCTTACATTCATATTGTTCAAAAATAATAAGCATCAGAAATAATAATAAATTCATAGGGATTATCACCGGATATTGTATATATCAAAATTACGAGAATAATCAAATTCTAAAATGTAGCTCTCTTTTTATTAGAAAATATTTTTAGCTGATTGCCAAGCAACATGTCAACTTACTCCGACGTGTAGTTAAAGCCTCTCTTCAAGGGAAGGCTGGCATTACCATTTATTTAGTAAGTAAACTATAGGCATCCTTGTGTTTTTTTAAAAAATTTTGTTTGCTCTGAAAATTTTATTAGTAACATTTGTCGTCTATTTTTAAATACCGGTACTATACTTAAATAATATGAGTACTTGCTATGGCCAAAATGAATTGAATGATATTTGATAGTCATTGATTATCATTGATAATGACAAAAATGATGTTGAAAGAAAAAAAAAGTATGGTCTTAAATTAAAACCTCTCACTAACTGATCACGAGATCTCAATTAACACGCCTTATGAAGTTGAAATATTCCTTGGTGCAGTTGGATTTATGTAACACCCAAACAAGTGAAGTGGCTTTAAATGGTAAATTCTGGAAAGTGTGACATGATTCTGACAGCTTCTTCACAGCAGATATACTAGGTTGATGAAGATAAGTGAAACTCATCATGGTTAGGACACTCACCAGTAAACTCTTCTGCCATGGGAAAGATAGTTAGAGTTAGTGCATCAGCATCCCCAGCATGATCCAAATCCATTACCATATTAAGAAAATTTATTATTCAGATTTCTACTCTTACTAGTCTTAAGGGATCATCGAAAGACAAGAGCAAGAAAACTACATCCTACTATATCTGAAATTCCCTCTAACATCCTAGCAAAGCATGGGTTTTCAGCCAGTATTAATATATATGTGACTGTTACAGGCATTTTAATATTGTTTGTATTGCTTTCAATTTTTTTATATATCACTATGCATAATTGTCCTGAAATAATGACTCTCTAATAAAGCCAAAATTCTAAAAAAAAACACAAAAATAACAAACAAAAAAACCCCAGCTTTGTTACATATTTATCCTCATACTGTTGCTTTGTGTTTTCACTCGTTAGGTAACAGTATCAAAACAGTAATTTTTAGTCTTGTGACAACTTTTATTTCACCTGTAGTGCATATGATTATTATTGTAATGTGTGTTAATTATTTCTTTTGGCTGAACCAAACAGCTGCAGTCGTGAAAAGGGGAGGCTGGTGGAACCGATGACATAATTAGACCTGTTTACCCCCGGTGACATAATTAGACCTGTTTAGGGGTCATCCATAAAAGACGTCCACACAAAAGGGGGGAGGGGGTTCAGCAAAAAGTGGACTAAAGGGGGGGAGGAGGTTTAAGGACAAAGTGGATGTCCACATTGTAGTGTTTTTTTTTAGTGCAGCAGTTTTGCATAAATTTACTGCAAATTTACTGCCCGATCACAGTTACAGTAGCATGCCTTTTGATTTCAATTGTCCATCGGTGGCTGGGAGAATTTCCAAGAGAATATGTTTCTGCGGTAAATATTTCCCATCACAGGCGGCAATGAAAAAACATAAGGTCGTCCATTGCAATATTCCTGCTAGTGAACATAATATGGCAGACGAATCAGACGAAGAGACTGCCACTCAAATTGAATTAGCAATTGAAGACTCAAGAACAGATGTTGTCATTATACGAAACATGTTTGAATGGCTGCAGTCCGAATTTTCCGTTGATTGAAGAATGGTGGATTATTTGTACTACAGCGATTTTTTTCCTGCTACTCTCAACCCATGATTATTTTTATTACTGTACCAGTGAAACATGATTTTATCTGCCACAAAATTAGTTAACAACACAAACATATATTTGATAATTATAAGTATAACATTACTAACATTACATTTGTCAAGTTAATAATTCAAGTTAAAAAGTAAAACAATAAGCCTAGTTGTTGCTTCATTCTCGAGAAAAAGCATAGCAACTAACGCGTATTCATGGCTTGCCGTTGGCTGGAATTGAACTCAAGTTTGGTCAGTTTAGACCATTCGACCACACAGTCACCCCGATATCAATGCACCCTTATTGATTGATACGATAACACAGGAAGAATATAGACGTCACGTGACTTGCCGACTGCGTATAACTCTCAGGGTTATACGCAGTTGGCTGCGCATAACCACTTTGTTTAAATATTTTGTAACAATTTAAAATGAAATCTTTTACTTTCATTGGTTGCCTACTCCACACTGGCCCCTAATTTATTTTATGGATTACTGGTGCACAAACTCAAATAACAAACTAAACAAAAATGTTTACAAGCCACTTTCACTTAAGTTTTTTTCTATTATTTGCATTCAAGATACCCTGTACATTACTTGGTAGAGAAATAGATTTTAAAATTAACAATAGTTTTGAATTATTCGCAGTCATGTGACAAAGCTGACCGACAAGATATCTCTCGCCACTTTGTTACGGCGGTCATGTGACTTGGTCGCCGGACAAATAGTGCGGTAGATGTAGACACTGCCTAATGATTATAGAACTATATTTAAAATAGAATTAAAAAGTTCCATAAAATTATAAACAAACGCATTCTCATTCTTACATTTTCAATCCAGGCTCTCCATGATGTACAAGATAAATAATGGGCTGGTCCACTGTTCCAGTATTGAACAGAAACTCGTCCCTCTCCCCCATAGACAGCGACGAGGCCATGACAGGCAATTCAGGCTCATACCAGCAAGAAGCCAGTATAGGAGCTGCTAATTCCTGCCCAAGACAATCAGGGACTGGAACAATCTTTCAAAAGTCAAAAGGAACGGTTGAGGCGACAACTCTAGACAGACACATTTGTGTCTATTGCCTCAAGCCTTCAAACCCCTAGTGCATGATTTCCTCATCAACACCAGTAACAGAAACATTGCAAATCCCATCTACATGCATTGGAGCCAAAATGATCAAAAAATTGATCGTGGGCCCTTAAGATATAGAAGAAGAAGTCTTGAAAACATGGTACACGTCTCGAGTGATAATAATGGCGACTAGGATGCAGGGCTGCCACTCACTTTTTTTAAATTTCCCAAGATTTGGTGAACGAATTTCCCAAGATTTCCCAAGATCATAAAAATATATAAGAGTTTTTTTTTAAAAAGGGGGGTTTTCTATGTAATTAATGTAATAATAGATTGAATCAATGCCCCTGAAAAACATGGTACATTAATTGACTGAAATTTATTGAAAAAGACATTTAAAACATGTTTATCTCATAAAAAACAACAATTTGTTTTTAAAAAAATAATTTATAATCCAAAATATCAATACCCACTGGTCCTCACTGGAGTTAGGCTACTAAATATTACCTCCGAATTCTCTGGTAAAAATATCATCTACAATACATGTGTATTAGGAGACACTTGGAAAAAAAAGCATAAAAGGCTAATCAACACAGAATTCCTTTTACAAAGGTAAAAGGTTCTTCATCAAAAAAATGTTTTTTTTTATTATCGTAAATCTGTTGATTAGAAGTGGGGTTTGCAAAGCAATTAAGCAAAATTTATTAATAATAATTGTAGTTAAAATGGATTGATATTATGATGAAAACAATAAGTATTTTTATTTTTTCTTGTAAATTTACATTATAACGATTTTTTCACCCGCCAAAAAATACTTTTAAAGGAATTGTTCATTTATAATCCTAAAACTAAAACGTAGTCCTATACTATTAATATCTTAGTTACCTGTGTTACAATCCACAAATATTTTTTCTAATTGATGAAAATTAGGCTGGATTTTTTACAGATGCATTATATTTTGAACACATTGTAGAAGTAATTGAAATAATCAAATTTTACTATGGCATGGATTCTTGATTGAACACTATCGTTCACTCTTTGGCTTGTACTGTTTTTCGTATGGTTGCTAATGTCTAAGAGCATAATGATAAAGTTTCCGAGCCTTATCCCCCCCCCCAATTTAATAAACATTCAAAACCTGGATGTAATTTGTAAATCTTCAAAAAAAAATTTTTTTTTAAAAAGAGAAAATTGATTTTTTTTTTAAATTATTAACTTTTTAATAATTCACAATATTAACTTTAATATCAGAAGAGTTTTTATTTATTTTATTAGTGGATTTAAAAATTAAAACCAGAAAAGAAAATGAAAACAATTATTTTTTTGCCTTGTCACTTAAAAAATTATTTTGCTTTATTTTTTACTTTATTTTTGATCAGATATTCTTGCGTTTTTCGAAAATTATAACAAAATTTTCCCTCCAGTTAAGATTTCCCAAGGTTTTGACTGATTTTCAAAATTATTCCCCAGATCCCAAGGGGGGTCGTGAATTCCCAAGATCTTGGGAAATTTCCCAAGGTGTGGTAGCCCTGCTAGGATGGCAAACCAACAGGAAGTATCCGTCATAACCATCACGTGACAAAGCTCACGTGACCAGCCGGGTCCGAATAGCTATCTGTGGCTATTGGTACTTGGGTACCTACAGCAACTTCGTTTTTTTTTGGTGGACGTGGATAGCAAATTTCTCAGCCCGCCCAGGGCGGAATGAAACCTAGCTTAGGGGTTATGGTCCGTATTTAGAACGGGCGGTTTTTATTTTTCGACACCCTCCCTTGTCCGTACTAATTTTTGCGTCCGTCTTTGTCGGTAATTTCCACTCGTCGTCCGGCTTGTCTCTACTTTTGGTAACAACTTGTTGGTAAACGTTTATATATATATATACATAGATACAGGGCGGCGCTATGAGGGTGTGAGGCCTTGGGAAAATTGAATTTTGCGAGGCCGTTGACGTTATTATATATTCCGCCCATAGGATAGTAGGCTTAAGTATATTATAAATATAATACGGGGCCCCCCACTTCACCATCCCCTAGCGCCGGCCCTGTATAAATATACATATATATATATATATAAAGTGACAATTTGTTTTTCCTCATACGTTTATA